TAGAAACAGGAGAAGGATCAGCACACACCTATAATCCCAGTGGCTTAGGACGCTGAGCCAGGAGGACTGCAGATTCAAAGCCAGCCTCAGCAATTTAGTGAGGCCCTAAGCAATTTCAACCCTATCTCACAATAAAATGTAAAAAGGGTTGGGGATGTGGCTCAGTTGTTAAGCATCCCTGGGTTCAATTCACAGTACCAAAAAAAGAAAGAAAGAAAGGAAAAGGAGGGGCAGAGGAAGTAGCTCAGTGGTAGAAGCACTTGCCTGGCATACAAGGCCCTGGGTTCAATTCCCAGCAACAAAAAAAGGGAACTATTCTTGCAGACTCACTGAAAGTTCAAGAAGTGACTTATTGAACCCACAATAGCAAGGAAAGGGACAGAAAAGCTGTAAGAAATGAATGCATGAACTCAGAATCCAGGATGGTGTAGAATTAGAGTAAACAGATTCCTACAACCTCAAAGGTTAAAAAGCCATGGTGACTCTACTTGGGAATAGAAATGACCCAGATCTACAAGAAAATGTTAAATCATATTCAGCTCAACGGGACAGAGTAACATGATTGCATCTTTTAGTTTTCAAGCATTCCATATAATTAGAGATTTTAGTGGCCGAGTATGATGGTGCATACCTATAATCCCAACTACTCAGGAGGCTGAGGCCAGAGAATCAAAAGTTTGAGGCCAGCAAGGCACAGTGGTACCCACCTATAATTCCAGCAGCTTGGGAAATTGAGACAGGAGGATTGCAAGGCCAAAGCCAACCTCAGCAACTTAGCAAAGCCCTAAGCAACTCAGTGAAACCCTGTCTCTAAATAAAATAGAAAATAGGGCTGGGGATGTGGCTCAGTGGTTGAGTGCCCCAGGGTTCTATCCCTAGTACCAAAAAAAAGGAAAAATTTTTGAGGCTAGTCTGGACAAATTAGGGAGACCTTATCTCAAAATAAAAATAAAAATTAAAAAAGCTGGGGGTGTATTCAGTAGTAGAGTAATGTCTGGGTTCCATCCCTAGTATTGCAAAAAAACAAAAATATATAATACATATAATGTACAAAGTATGTGTTGAATATTGATGTTACTGAAAAGGCTTTTAGTCAATAGCAGGCTGCTAGTAGTTAAGTTTTGAGAAGAGTCAAAAATTATATGCAGGGGATAGGGATGTGGCCTAGTGTCTATCATCCTTAAGGTCCTAGCACTGGAAAGAAAAAAAGGCTTATGCACATTTTCTTCTGGGAGGTGGGGTGTTGAGTCCCCCAATCCCCCCAATGTTCAAGGGCCTACTATATTTGTATGAAGCTATAAACTTGATAAAGGACCTAGCCTATTATGGGAGCAGAAGAGAACACCAGTAAATTCTGGCACCAAGATCAAATGGTAATATACTGTTATGTGGGGGCTGAGGTTATGGCTCAGTGGTAAAGTGCTCACCTAGCATGCACGAGGCACTGGGTTTGATCCTCAGCATCACATAAATGTAAAATAAAGGTATTTTGTCCACCTAAAACTAAAAAATATTTTTAAAATATATACTGTTATGTGAAAAAAATATGTGTACAAGCTCATAAGTTTTAAAAAAGTACAGTGGAAAAAGATTAGGGCTGGGGTTGTGGCTCAGTGGTAGAGTGCTTGCCTCACATGTGTTAAGCACTGGGTTCAATTCTTAGCACTGCATATAAATAAATGAATAAAGTAAAGGTCTGACAACACTAAAAAATATTTTTAAAACAAGACTAAAAGGATATAAGCCAAAATATAACATTATTATCCATTTACTTAACTGTTTACACATAAATGAGCACTTTCTTTCTGTATGACACTTCTAAACACTGCAGAGTTAACCAAACTCAAAACAAACTGTATTGCTGTTGATAAACAAACTGCAGTTTATAATTTAAAAGCAAGAATTGCAGCAATTGTGAACCACAACCAACTCAAGAATACTAATTATGCAGTGACAGGAAAGGTAAGGTGTCCTTCCAGAAAACAGTAGGGAGATTCTGGTTCTTCAAAATGCACTAGAGCAGTAGGAATGTTGGCAAGCATGTCAGCCAGACTTTTTCATAGAACATTGAAGGTGAATCTGCAGTAAAACCACAAGATACACTTTATTTTAGTTTAAGAATCCCAAATGTATCGATGCTTTTTAATTTAGTAAGCAACCTCTGGCCCTGAATAATCAGTACATGGCCCATCAGGAGATGCCCTGTAGTTTGCACGTGGCCCTTGAACTGTACTATGAATCACAGCTTTCAAAGACATTTTTCTAGTATACCTAAGCAGAGTTATAACTTGGTTGGTGCCCAGATTGTAGAATGTGAGGAACATCTGTCTACAGGTGCTATCCCAGATTGTAGCCCAGTATCAATTTATGTTTACCCTCTTGATTTCTAGGGCATAGGTGAGCATTGATTCCTTGTATCTCTTTTTTTTTTTTTTTTAGTGGTTAGGTAGACACATTGCCCTTCGTTTTATTTTTTTTATGTGGTACTGAGAATCAAACCCAGGGCCTTGCACACGCTAGGCGAGCACTCCACCGCTAAGCCACAACCCCAGTCCCCATGCCTGGCCTTTATATCATTCATATCATTGAAAATTGAATAAAGAGCTAGGTGCAGTGGCACACACCTATAATCTCAGCTACTTGGGAGGCTGAAGCAAAAAAATTCCAAGTTTAAGGCCATCTTGGGCAATTTAGTGAGACCCTATCTCAAAATAAAATTTTTAAAGTCTGGGGATTGGGACTGTGCTGGGGTTAATCCCTTCCCCCACCAAACAGCAGGAGTCACCTCCAGGAAAACTGGAGCTGCTACTGGAGGAATCTTTGCCAGTTTCTCATAGCTCTGGAATCCTGCCTGAAAGCCTGAGGTCCTTGGCCCTAAGGGAGAATCCGAAGATGTAGGCACAGAGGCCCTGACCCCTCACATCTAGGATAGTTTACATACTGCCACCAGCCAAGAGAGGCACCAACCCAGCTCCATGGAGCCCTGGATGGAGCTCCTGAGTCCATTTGAGGATATGCCTGGTACAGAGATGAGTCAGTCTGACATGGGGTAGACTGGTGGGGATTCTCAGGTGTCATCAAGTCTCTGCAGTCAGCAAAGTTGCCCTGATAGAGAACTCAAGGGAGTTGAGTCCTCCAAGCAGACCAGAGGCCCCTTCATCCCTGAATGCTGTTTCTGATGAGGGTCCACCTGGCTCTGAACCCCCTAGGAGATGGCCACCTGATCCCCATGATGGGGACACCAAGGAACTGCCCCTGGAGCAGCCTCTACCATGTAGCCCCATAGGCACAGAACAATTGCAGCACATGGACTGAGGGTCAGAGCTTGGCCTCTAGCCATCCCATCAACCTGGCCCTGCAATCTAGTTTGGCTCTCGTGACAAGGACTCAGACCAACACATAGTGGTAGGAGACAGTTTAAAATCAGAGAAGGAACTAACAGCATCAGTCACTGGGGCCATTCTGATATCCCAAAATCGGGAGCTTCTCCCCAGTGCTTCTGCCTCAGCTGAACCACAATCCCAGAGCCTGGGTTCTGGACACTGTGGCCATTTCTTAGGCTAGCACCTATATTCTCATGTCTTCTATGGCAGCCCCGTGCCTCCCAGTTCCCAGGTCTCTGGAGGGGGCCATGGACTCTAAATTACATCCCAAAAAGGAGGCTTCCGCTCTGGGACACCCTTACAGAACCCCAGCCCTTCCCTCAAGTACTGCTCTCTGGAGTAGCAAGCACTCAAGGGGCCAGATTCTGGATTTCAACACTGCAAGTAACAGAACTGGAGAAGTTGATGGCTTCTTTTCCTCTACTCTCCAGCTTTCTGCCCCAACCCTTTACCTGACCCACCTTTGCTTCAGGTATACCAGGATCTGCCATCCCCTTCAGATTTTTACTCTGCTCCTCTGTAGCCTGGTGGCCAAAGTGGCTTCCTCAGGGGCCCCTGCATAGCAGATGCTTTTACCTATTATAGATTCATAGCTGCTTGTGGTGAATTTTGGCCCCCTGCCACCAGCACCATCTCCTGCCCCATCTCTACCCCCTTTCCCTGTTACTTCTGGGCACTATTCTGCAACCTCCCAGCCTGGCTGTGTGGCCTCCACCTGCTAGACCCTTCCCCACTAGCTTGGGGCAAGCAGAGCTGCACCCAGTAGAACTAAAGCCTTTCCAGAATTACTAGAAGCTAAGCAGCAGCCTTGGAGGATCTGGGTTGTCTTGCACTTCCCCACCTGGAAGGTCCTTATCTGGTCTCAATTCCTATCTCAAGGCCATCCCTTCCACCTATAGTGGAGTATTCCACACCCAGCACTTTGACCTTTACCCTCAAGCCTCGGTACTGGATGTCAAAACCTTGGGAACGGACAGGGCCACCTTCCTTAGAAGGGCCTTCCAGAAGAGCAGAAGAGCCTTGGTCCCAAAGGGACAAGGATCCTGAATTGCCTCCACCCTGTTGAGGGAGTTCCCCTTCCCCCCACGCCACCCTCTGGGGCTTGTAAATACATTATAAAATATAAAGGGGACGGGTGGGTGGGGATGGATTGTAGGGCTGGAGCCTCACTCCCCCTCCTCCCCTTCTTCTGGTGCCCTATTCCTGGTGCTATTTGTTTAAAAAGAATATTAAAAGATAAATAAAAATAAAAAGTGCTAGAGCACTTGCTTGTCATGTGCAAAGCTCTGGGTTTGATCCAAGCACACATATACAAAAAAAAAAAAAAAAATTTCAATGAAGAGAAAATTCCCAGCAATAATAATAGGTTATAAATAAAACCTAGTCCTAGGATCCAAATCTGTATTACCTCGATAAAAAAATCAGTATGTTTACTTCTAAATTTTATTTACAAAACAACTTTGGAATCATTAAGGTACTGTTATCCTCCTCTCTGTTGAATCCATATAATATATGTGGGGTTTTGTTTTTGTTCTTGTTTTCTCTGTTCTGGACTGAGCTTCAAGCTGATAAATGGCACCACTCATGAGTAACCTTGTTATCTTTCTCCCCATCTAGGGTACCCCTTGGCTTTGTTTTATCGACATTACCTTTTCTTCAAGGACAGCTACCTCATTCATCTCTTCCATGCCTTTACAGGCCTCTCAATTGCTTATTTTAACTTTGGTAAGTAAACCAAGTTAGCAGTGACCCTGTGATTAGAAGGATGCTGGGAAGGAACAGACTTGAACAAAATTTCCTTGAGAGAATTTGATGGTTTGGGAAGTTTTAATTAATGCTCTGCTTGCAAAAAGAGGGTTATATGGAAAGAGCTCAGCTTAACTTTTCCTTTTTTCCCCTTTTTATGTACATTCCTCTGTCAGGTAAAAACATCTTGAAAAATAATGTGTTGGGGCTGAGGTTGTGGCTCAGTGGAGTAGAATGCTTGCCTAGCATGCTTGAGGCACTGAGTTCAATCCTCAGCACCACATAAATGTAAAATAAAGATATGTGTCCACTTAAAACTAAAAAATAAATATTAAAAAAAGAAAAAGAATGTGTTAAGCAAAGCAATTAAAAATTATACATGTATGAAAATGTCACATGGTATCCCAGAAGCATGTAAAATATTTACATTTTTCTATATCGATTTAAAAAATAAATTCAGAGACAGGTTTGGAACACACCTGTAATTCCAGATACTTGGGAGGCTGAGGCAGGAAGATAGCAAGTTGGAAGCTAGCCTCAGCAATTTAACAAAACCATAAGCAACTTAGTGAGACCCCATCTCAAAATAAAAAAGATAAAAAGGGCTGGCAATATTTCTTAGTGCCAGAGCTCCCCTGGGTTCAATCCCTAGTACCACAAAAAATAAATATATAAATTTAGGGCTAGGAATGTACCTCAGCAGTAGAGCAGTTGCTTAGCATGCACAAGTTCCTGGTTCATTCTCCGGCACTGTGGAAATAAATTTAAATAATAAGTACAAGCATTTTGATGGTAGCTTGCCTGACCCTATCAACAGAGAAGTATCAGTTTCTCTGCTATGGCTATAACTGAGTGACAGATCCAAGCATACCCCCTCAGAATGATCCCTCCATTCAAACATACAGAAATACCATAAACACCTTGATAATCCCAATGTTTACACAACTAATTTTCATCCCCTTCCACCAAAACCACAGATTATTCTTTTTTTTTTTTTTTTTTAGAGAGAGAGAGAATTTTAATTTTAATATTTATTTTTTAGTTATCGGCGGACACAACATCTTTGTTTGTATGTGATGCTGAGGATCGAACCCGGGCCGCACGCATGCCATGCGAGCGCGCTACCGCTTGAGCCACATCCCCAGCCCCAAGATTATTCTTTTAAAAAAAAAAAAATTCAGCCCTGGGGATATAGCTCAGTGGCGGAGCACTTGCCTAGCATATGTGAGGCACTGGGCTTGATCCTGAGCACCACATAAAGATGAAACAAAACAAAGGCATGCTGTCCATCCACAACTACAAAAAATAATAATAATAATATTCCTAATACCACAGTGTTTTCTTTTGATATCTTTTTGTGGTTGAAAATCCTCAGAAGAGTTTAAATATAAAAAACCAAGCTAAAATTCTGTTCTCTGCATCTAGGATACCAGTTCTACCACTCCTTGCTATGTGTTATACTTCAGTTCCTCATCCTTCGACTTATGGGCCGCACCAGGACTGCTGTCCTCACTACCTTTTGCTTGCAAATGGTAAGCATCTTTCTCTTAGCATCTCAGGTCACAACTGAGGCAGAAGGGAGGTAGGAGACTATGGTGTAGAAAAGGCAGTGGATTAAGAGATCTCATTTCCAACCCCTCCTTCCAATACTCAGCAGTCTGACTTTCGGTCATGCTATGACTGGGCCCAGGTGTTTCATATGCAGATCATAATGCTAACTCCTGCCGTGCCTCAAAGAAGGTGCACCAGCTAATCCTTTGCACAAGACTATGGAATTGAATTTCATTGGTTCTCATCAGGATTAGCCTAGCAGTCTATGAGGGAAGTTTTCTAAAGGCAAGGAAGAACACCAATTTAGAATGAGCTAAGGAAGCTAAGCATCTCAATTCTTGTCTCAGTTTAGCCCTTATTTTGCTAATAATCCTTGAGCACATCTCTTCCCATTATAGGCTCAGTGTCTCCATTTGTAAAAAACTCCTTAAAGCTTCTAATGAGGGATTCCAGAATGAGGAGAAAGTAAAGGAAAACATAGTAGTGATGGTAGAATAAATACTTGGTTCTCTCCTAGGCCTACCTTCTTGCTGGATATTATTACACAGCCACAGGCAACTATGACATCAAGTGGACAATGCCACATTGTGTCCTGACTTTGAAGCTGATTGGTAAGTGGTTGAGCATTGCCTTCCTCCTTCCAGCTGGGCCCTACCCCCCTCAGACCAAAACCTTACTGGTACTTTCCCATTACACTCCTGGCTGCACTCAGTCCACAGGCCACATCCTCACATTGTCCTCTCCCTCTACTCTACCCACCCCTTCTCTCTCTGCTCAGGTTTGGCTGTTGACTACTTTGACGGAGGGAGAAATCAGGTAAGTACCAATTCCTCTGCAGAGAGGTTAAGCATTTAACCAGAGGGAAGGAGGAAGGCTATTGTTACCAAAAGACTGGACCCAAATACCAGGGGCAGAGCCTCTCCCTCATTCCCCAGCCTGTGTGATATCCATTTCAGATAGCTCTGAGCAAGAATCAACAACTCTAACTTGCTCAGGATCCAGCTCCTGCACAAAGTCCAGAGATCAGTGCCAACAAGGCATTTGTCAAAGCAGCAACAGCCAACAGTTGCTGAGCTACCCCACACATATTCATTTCCACATGAAGCAACTCTTTTCCATCCCCCAAGGAGAAGGCAAGCTGAAGAACCCCAGATAGTGGGGCATAGGGGTGGGGGACACTCAAACTGGCTCTTGGGGGGAGATTCGAGGCTATCCTGAACCATGCATTCTCTTCTCGGCATAGAATTCCTTGTCCTCTGAGCAACAGAAATATGCCATACGGGGTGTCCCCTCCCTGCTGGAAGTTGCTGGTTTCTCCTACTTCTATGGGGCCTTCTTGGTAGGGCCCCAGTTCTCAATGAACCACTACATGAAGCTGGTGCAGGGGCAGCTGACTGACATACCAGGGAAGATGCCAAACAGGTAACTGCCCCTCCTGGTCAAGACTTCTGTGTAGGTGTCTCACCCAACAGTCACTTCTGAAATGACTTTCCTGAAGGTCAGCCCCAGCTGCATTCTCCAGCCTGTCCTAACACACAGAGCCATGTCACACAGACCTGGACTTTCACACCAGGCACTCTACCTGCCCATTGTCCTAGTGGGCACTTTTCTACCCAGGTTACTTCTAGCCATCCATGCTGAACTTGTAGCACAGACATAAACATTCATTTTTATGCCACAGGATTTTGTCTGAACCAGTCACATTCCTGCCTTTAAAGCCTGTTTTCTCATTTAAAGGGAAAAAAGACAAGAGAATGTTAAATACATAAAAGTATATATGAATATATATCAGAAGAAAATTTAAAAGTCACCAGAATTCCTTCACTGAGAACTTGTCTAACATGAGTTTCAGTATCAGTTCAACCAAAATAGGAAGGAACAAGTTGGAATTTGTTGGTGATTATTATTCTCTACATGAGATTCTCAGTCCCAGTGTACATTGAGAACCCTGGTAAGAACCTGAGCTCAATAGCATCCCTGAAGGGTTAAACACTACAAGACTTACCCACACTGCTCCCCCACTGCCCTTACCATCCTGTGACTTACAGGTTTGTGGGTACCATTCCTCATAACCAACCACTCGGGGGAGATCTCTTTCCCGGAAACAGTACCAACTTTGGAAGCAGAGCTCCTCGTGTCATTTTTACCCTGAAACACTCTTCTGAGTAACTGAGGGTCACAGGGTGAAGGGCTTTGACTGTGCCCTCTGTGACCCAGCTCATTCCTTTCCAGCACCATACCTGCTCTCAAGCGCCTGAGTCTTGGTCTTGTCTACCTGGTCGGCTACACCCTGCTCAGTCCCCACATCACAGAAGACTATCTCCTCACTGAAGACTATGAAGTGAGTGGTTGTTAACACAGCAGCACTGCCACTGCCTCCCAGATAGAAAGTGGACAGGCAAGGACCCCTGTAGATAGCAAAGAAGTAGGTGATGCCATCTACAAAATGCATATTGATTTTGCTCTAGATCTGTGAGAATTGGTGTCAGTACCAGCCGGGCCAGGACATGTTCATCAGCCTTCGCTGAATGACCTTCGTGGGCACATGGCTGTGCCAGGTGCACTTTAGCACCCCTTTCCTCCCCCTAAAGTGGCTCTTAGCTTGCTCTGTTATGTCCAAGTTCCTCCCTGGAGTGCAGCAGCTGCTGATCCTCCAGCCTATTTTCTTCTCTTGACTGACAGACTTGGGCCCTTCTAGGGAATTCAGAAACCAAGGGAGAGGGGAATGCTGGCTTTGTTCCTGCCCAGTTGAAAGGCTTGCAGCAGTTTCATATCCATTCTGGGTAGGTTTCTCCTTAAACTAACATGAAATGTGGATATGTAAGGTCCCTTAGTACTTATTGTTTCAGACAGTACCTTGTGAAGGCAGGCAGCCTGTAGAAGAGTTAGGGACAGAGCTGTTTTCTGGGACTCCTCAGGGAAGATGAGAGATGTTTGCTGGACTCCCCTGCCTATTCCCTCTATCCTGTTATAAAGGCAGTTAGGCCAGACTGTCCAGGCCCATCTGACAGATTTTGACAGGTATGAAGTAACCAGATACAGATTGGAAAAGGAAGAGCACTAAGGGGAACATGCCCATGTACTGTCTCTAACACACGTGTTCTCTTTCCTTAAGAACCACCCTTTCTGGTTCCGCTGCATGTACATGCTGGTCTGGGGCAAGTTTGTGCTTTACAAATACGTCACCTGTTGGCTGGTCACAGTAAGTAGGAAAGATGAAAAAGGGTCATATTTAGACAAGCTGTGGGGGCTGGTAGGGCAGGAGTGGAGAGAATCTTGAGCTGTGCCTCCCCTCAGGAAGGAGTATGCATTTTGACCGGGCTGGGCTTCAATGGCTTTGAAGAAAATGGAAAAGCAAAGTGGGATGCCTGTGCTAACATGAAGGTGTGGCTCTTCGAGACAAATCCCCGCTTCACTGGCACCATCGCCTCTTTCAACATCAACACCAATGCCTGGGTAGCCCGGTAAGCAGTTGGAGAAGAGCCCTAGACCTGAACTCCTTCCTTCTGCTGCTTTCCCGCACTGGAAGGCAGAGATATATGATGCCTCCTCTGTCCATCTTTCCCACTTGGGTAGACTGTCCATTTTTTTCTTTTTTTAGTTGTAGATGGACATCATGCCTTTATTTTATTTGCTTCATCTCCCTAAAAACATTCCATAAAAGGGCCTCAAGCCCTAGCTTAATCCCAGTTCTGCCACTGTATTTGTTACCCATTGCCCTGTTTATTTCTTCAATTGTCCTCACTAGAGTATAGCAGTTTGAGATTGATCTCTTTTCCCACTGCCCTTTCACTGTCAAGCACTTAGTAGGCATTCATTCAGTTGTTAACCTGGAGTCTTGTTTTCTGACTCTAAACAGCCATCACCTTCCATCTCTAAAGATATCCAGTTAGCACTGTCTCCCGCACCTCAACCCCCTATGGCCACAAGTGGGAGTCAAGTTACTCATCAGGGAACCAAGAACCCAGAAGCAGGATAGTGGGAATGAGAATAGTTCGTCTAAGGCTCATCCTTGCCCACCCTTTTCTCTAGTTACTTCTTCAAACGGCTCAAGTTCCTTGGAAATAAAGAATTATCCCAGGGTCTCTCATTGCTGTTCTTGGCCCTCTGGCATGGCCTACACTCAGGATACCTGGTCTGCTTCCAGATGGAATTCCTCATTGTTATTGTGGAAAAGAAGGTGGGCCTCAAGGGTGCTGGGTAGAAAGGGGATTCAGAAGGAGACAAGACACTGATGACTACTCTCCTTCCTCTTCAGGCTGCCAACCTAATTCGAGACAGCCCAGCCCTGAGCAACCTAGCTTCTATTACTATCCTGCAACCCTTCTTCTACTTGGTGCAACAGACAATCCACTGGCTCTTCTTGGGTTATTCAATGACTGCCTTTTGCCTCTTCACATGGGACAAGTGGTTTAAGGTAATTAAGGCCCACCTAAACGGTTACCAGGAGACTCACTAAAACCTCTCACACCTCAAGACACCGCATGCTTCATCTCTCTCTTCCCACAGGTATATAAATCCATCTATTTTCTTGGTCATGTCTTCTTCCTGAGCCTACTATTCATATTGCCTTATATTCACAAATCAATGGTGCCAAGGAAAGAGAAGTTAAAGAAAATGGAATAATCTATTTCCCTGGTAAGTAAATATTCTACACCTAACATAAAACTGCCAGGTTGTAGACTGGAGCCACAGACTAGGGGAAAAGCTGGTATTGGAAATTTGGGGTGGATTTCAATGTAGTCTGGCGCAGAGGGACACAGTATGGGGTATTGATACTCTAACTAAGGAATGTAGGTGGAAGCTGCAGGACCCAGACCAGGACCTGGACATGCCACTCTGACCAGCCTTCCATTCACATCTTGCCTTGCAGGTGGCCTAGAGCAGGACTGGTGCAGAAACTACTTGTCTCCCTTTTCATAGCACTCCCTCACCCAAGAGCACAGTGAACAGAAAAGCCAGGGAGCTGGAAGCCATGCCACTCCCAGCTGTGCCTCTGCTGCCCGCCAAGTCTTCAATGGGCCAAAGGGGAAGTTCTTGTGGGAGGAGCAGAGGGGATGCACCCCCCTCAGGCTCCCCCATGCACGTTGCCTTATCTCTCCTCTCTAGCCAGGAATCTGTTGTGTTCTTCTGCCAATTTACTACGATTGTATATGTGCTGCTACGCCCACCCCCCCCATGGGGGGGAGGGAGGGCACAAGGCCCCACCTGCTCCACTTTTTCTATCTTGGAACTGTACCAGATAAAATCACTTCTGTTTGTTCAGTTTTTCACTGCTAGCATTCCTGACTGCTTTCTTTCAAACACACAATTCTCTGTACTTGCCATGGCTGAAGTCATCAGGTTCTTTCCCTTAACAGTACAGGAATCTGGGAAAACAGGAACTAAAGCCTGCCTTCAAAGCCTTCAACCAACCAAATCTACAAACTCCGTGTATCCCTGAAGTCTAAGAGGAACAAACAGTTCATCCAAGTAGATATAACAAGATTTGCAAAAAACAGTATTTATAGGATAAAGAAGAGCAAATATACAGCAATGTTTTCCCCAAACTCCACAGTCTTCAGTGCAGCAGCAGTCAACAGAGTCGAGGGGTACAACGCCAATAGTCCTTTGTTTCAGAACTAGGTTCTGCTACTGTCAAATAACCCCCCATACTTCTTCAAAGGCTGTGGTAAGTTTAGCACAGGTGAGGGCAGCAGAAAGAGGGTAGTTGCTCATGGACACCATCTTCTCTGTATATTCCACATTGACCTTAGGAGAGAAGAATCTGGTCAATAGTCACTCCATAGCAAGTTCGGCCCTTCTTCAGGGCAGGAAAAATGGCTCAACTAATATTTCACCAGTGTGTTTAATATCAGACTTCTAAAAAGAACGAAGAAGATGCTAGCTTTGTCTGTTACAAATATGCCAGCAATCCTCAAAGGATACACTGAGGCAGGAATTGGAACCACCATTTGTCTTCTAGATGTGTTGCTACCCTCTATTTCTCATTTTATAAGGACAAGGATTGTCAAGGCTGGGGAACTGGCATGGGCAGAACACTTGCTAAGTGCTTGCTCTTGGAATTCTGTACTGAGCTTCCAACTCTATGAAGAATCTAAGGGTTAAGCCCAGACCTTACCTTGCCATGGGCAAAGGCCCCCACCACAAAAACAATAGGGTCACTCCTAGGCACCAGTTGTCGCACATCACTGATGACTGGAACAGAAAATGAAGTGCCAATTTTCATACAACCAACTGGGAAGTGATCTGACACTGGATTCTTAATTACCTAAAGAAAAACAGAAAAATCAGCCCCAATAACAGTCCCAGAACCCCACCTCCAAACAGTAGGTTTAAGACCTCACCTTCAAAAGCTTCTGGGGACCATCAGCTGCTCGTACACTGAGCTTGTGTAAAAGCTGAACTAGAAGAGGAAAAAGTTCAGAGTTAGGTTTACTCCTACCAGTGACACAACCAGAAAAACCCACAGCTAAGATGAGTTCTATGTTCCCTTTATATCCCCAGACTGTACTCTTAAAATGTTACAAAAAAACGACTGTCAGGCATACAACCAGTAGGTAGTGAGAGGTTCAGATCTCCCTTTTTCGCTCAGCCAGGAACCTACTACAAAAAACAGGAAAGTAGGGCTGGGGTTTTGGCTCAGTGGCAGAGCCAAAGTGTGTCAGGCACTGGGTTCGATCCTTAGCACCACATAAAAATTAAAAAATAAAGGTACCGTGTCCATCTACAACTCAAAAAAGAATATAAAAAGAAAAGAAAAAACAAAAAACAGGAGAGTAGAATTTCCATGAATGTGGAAAAATAACACGAGCCTGTCCTGGCATTAGTCACATCCCTCTTCCCTCACTGAATAATGCCACATTTCATTCTCCCTTTTCCTCTTCCTCCCTTCTTCACTACTGCCAACTTCATTCTGAACTTAAATCCAAACGCTTCTCACCCATTAGGCCACAGAAGCGGTCAAAGGTTCTAGGAATTCGAGTCTGTGGGTTCACTTCAATCAGCACATTCTTCTGTGTGTGGATATAAACCTGCAGCAAGCCAGCTCTATTTAGGGGACTGTCCATCAGCATCAATAAGCTCTGAGGAAGACAGAAACCAAGGCACAGTGAAGGTTAAAGAGACACATCGTTCAGCTGCCTTCATTCAATATAAAGGTTGAAAAGGCTGTGAGCTTTATCCCTTTAGTTACCTGGTGGGTTATGTCTGGTCTCACTTCCCCAGGATCCCGTCCATTCTTCAACAACATGGACTTGTGCTTGTCGCAGTTGAGTAGCTCATATGTCTTTCCTACCTGAAGAACAGAGAACGTGATACAGCAACAGAAGCTTCTATTATTTAGCATAGTCATTCTCAAGGTGTGGTCCCTGAACCAGCATCATCATCTGAAAACTTGTTCAATAGGCAAATTCTCAGGCCTACTTAATGCCTATGAAGTCAGAAACTCTGGGGGTGGGGCCCAGCAAGTCCTTCAGGGGATCACTGTGCAGCGACATTTACATGCATACCTCCCTAAATAACAGATCTTAGAAGAGAAAGGGAGGAAGGGCACAACCTATAATCTACACTAAATCTAATTGTAAAACTGCAGTTATTAGGAAGGCCACTCTAGAACCAGGTAGGAATTAGGTTATTGAAGAAGGCTGAAAGCTTATGTTTATCACAGAAGCAATACGTATGTTCTGGGGAAAACAATACATAACCTCTACCCTTAGTTTGCTTAAAACAAACATGGATTAAGTGCATATGCTACAAATGTGAACAGAAGTTAATGTGGAAATCCTACTGATAGGAAGTCAAGGAACACTTTTCTAAGATGTAAAACAATTTAGAAGGGTTACTCACTCCTAGTTTTTGACTGGCATGAGTAAAGACATAAAAGAGAATTGAGAAAGGGGCTGGGGCTGTAGCTCAGTGGCAGAGCACTTGCCTAGTATGCATGAGGCACTGGGTTTAATCCTCAGCACCACATACAAAATAAAATTTTTTTTAAAAAGGCATTCTGCCCATCTATAACTACAAAAATTAAAAAAAAAAAAAGAAGAAAGAGCAGAAACATTATTTGGGGAAAAGTGAGAACAGAGGCACTGAAAGACTGGGATTCTATATGACACTGCTTATGTATCAAGCATAAAGCCAGAAGGAATTCTGGAGTAAGAGGAGCACAATGGAAATGCCTCAAATATTACTCTAATTTTATGTATATGTGAAAAAAGACCAATTAGAAGTATGATTTTTAAAAAAAGAGTTGGACTACACCTGTTGCATCTCAAATAATTGCAAGTTTATGGGAAGAGGGATGTAGATTCTGAAATCACTTGAACAGCCTAAATAACAATGGCCAGGGGTATAGCTCAGTGGCAGAGCACTTGCTCAGCATGCACAATAAAAAACAGAAATGTCACAAAGAGTAAGCATGAAGAAAGAATAAAGAACCAAAAACTGAAGCCATGGGATACCTTGAAGAAGAACCTCTTAAACAGACTAATCCAGTTTCAATCCATTAGAATTTAACCAGCGACTTTGTTCTTTCAGTGAAACAGAATAGAAACATCAAAGTAGCTGGGTGGGTGGCGCCTGTAATCCCCACTACTATAGAAGTTGAAGCAGGAGGACAGCAAGTACAAGCCCAGCTTGGGCAACCTACGCTGTTGCAAAATAAAAACCTGGGCATATAGTTCCATGTTAGAACACCCCTGAGTTAAATCCCTAGTACTACCAAAAAGGAGGGGGGAGTCAAAATATTTCACATAATGATTTATGAAACTTTTGGTGTCATACAGTTCATTGTGTATACTGGCTCACAATGTAACTTTTTGGTGGGTTAATAAGCTTGAAAAATCACTGACTAGAATAAAGAGAATGAATACCAGGTGTCTTGACTGTAAAAGGTATTGAAAGCCAGGCATGCTGACATACACCTATAATCCCAGTGACTTGTGAGTTTGGGGCAGGAAGAACACAAGTTTGAGACCAACCTGCACAATTCAGCAAGACCCTTTCTTTAAAAAAAAAACTTAAGGGCTGGGGTTATAGCTCAGCAGTAGACCACTTGCCTAGCATATGCTGGGTTCAATTCTCAGAACCACATAATAATAAATAAATAAAAATAAAAGTAGTGTATCCAACTACAATGAAAAAAATCTTTAAAAAATAAAACTTAAAAACGTGTTGGCATGTGTAGCTAAGTGGTAGAACACCCACGGGTTCAAACCCCAGTACCAAAAAAAGATATTAGAGATAGGTAAAAATAAAGATGTTGAAATTCTTCTATCATTCATTCATCTCTTTCCCTGAATGTAATAAAACAACCTGCAATTCCTTGGTTTAACCTAATAACAGAAGAATGAGCAGCATCATAAAAATTCAAGATTTTTTTTTTTTTTTTTTGTACTGGGGATTGAACCCAGGGACACTCAAATCACTAAATCCCCAGCCCCTTTTTTATGGTTTGTTTTTTCTTAATTTTGAGAAAAGTTCTCATTAAATTGCTGAGTGTAGCCTCAAACTTGTGACCTTCCTGCCTCAGTCTCCCAAATTGCTGGTATTATAGCATGTGACACCATGATCAGCAGAAACTCAATAATTAAGTGAATAAACAGATAAAAGTAGAAATCACTTTTGCAACAAGCTGACCAAGGGAGCTTGCAATTAAAGAACAATATGTTCAATGGCCTCAAGGAATAAGAGAACTTGGTGCTTTCAAAGAACTTAAAGTAAATGAGGTTAGAATATAGAAATAAATAGAACAGCCTCAAATAAGACTGGAAGAAACAACAGGTGTCAGTACATTGAAGACAAAAGTTGACAATATAGTCTGATGAAGATTTCCACCAGCTATGAATTCTACATCACCCTTGAAGTACCACTGTTGACAACTTAGCCCAAATGCTTCTAGAGTTTGCTTTATGAATTTTAATTTGGCCATAAACTTCTCAGTAAGTAATCTGGAATAAATAATATTAACAACTTACTCCAATGCCAGACATTATTCTAAACACTTTATGTTTTTAATTCCTTTAGTCCTTCTAATCATTATTATCCCCATGGACTATATAAAGCAATTAAGTAAAATGATTTGCCTAATGCCACACAACTAGTAGCCAAAAGGATTTGAACCCAGGCAGTCTAGTGTGAGTCTGCATTCTCAAATACTGCTGACACAAACAAGCTTTTCACATTTGCGAATTACAGTTATATGGGATAGCCTGACATGACAGATGTCAAAATTAACATTCAGAGTTAATAGGCTAGGCCAGGCAAGGTAGTACAAGACTCTAATCACAGCAGCTCAGGAGGCTGAGACAGGATTGCAAGTTCAAAGCCAGTCTCAGAAATTAGTGAGGCCCTAAGCAACTGTCTCTAAGTAAAAAATAAAAAAGGGCTGGGGATGTAGCTCAATGGTTAAGCACCCCTGGATTCATCCCTGGTACCAAAAAAAAAGAATAGTTAATAGGCCAGAAAGCTAGTAGGTAATTACTGAGAAAGAAGAGCCTGTTAGGGTAGAAATATATATTACATTTGAGGTTAGCCTGGACAATTTAGGAAGACACAGTCAAAAAGGGCTGGGACATGGTCACAGTGACAACACCTATAATCTCAGTGACTCAGGGAAGCTGAGGCAGAAGGATTCCAAGTAGAAGGCCAGCCTGGGCAATAAGAAACTTTCTCAAAATTATGCGGGGTGGGGGGGTGCTAGGGATGTAGGTTGGTGGTAAAACACCCTGGGTTCAATCTGGAGAGGAAAAAAATATGAATTACAGAAGCCAGGCATGGTGGAGCACATGGGAGGCAGAGGCAGGAGAATCACAAATAGTAGCCAGCCTGGGCTACTTAGCAAGACCCAGCCTCACCAGATGCAGTGGTGCATACCTGTAATCCCAGCAATTTGGGAGGCTGAGGCAAAGAGGATCACAAATTTGTTTTTGTTTTTTTAAAAACGGAGAGAGAGAGAATTTTAATTTTTTTTTTTTTTTTTTTTTTTAGTTTTCGGCGGACACAACATCTTTGTTTGTATGTAGTGCTGAGGATCAAACCTGGGCCGCACGCATGCCTGGCGAGCACGCTACCGCTTGAGCCACATCCCCAGCCGGAAGATCACAAATTTGAAGTCTGCCACAGCAAGGCTCTAAGCAATTAAGCAAGACCCTCAAATTTTAAAAATTTGAAAAATAGTTGGGGATGTACCCCAGTGGTAAAGAACCCTTGGATCTAATCCCCCCCAAAAAAATAAATACCCCCCCCAAAAAAAAGACCATCTCAAATAGTTTTAAGGGACAGGGACACAGCTCAGTGCTAGAGCACCCCTGGGTTCAATCCAGAAAGAAGGCAAAAAGGAGGAGGAAAGAAAGGAAGAGAAGAAAGATATCAATTACCAGAGAAAATGAAAACGTGCCAGTGCAGGCCTGTAATCCCTATCACATAGAAGGCTGAGACAGGAGGATCACAAGTTCAAAGTCGTCCTCAGCAGTTTTGCCAGGCCTTGTCTCAAAATACAAAATAAAAAAGACTGGGGATGTAGCTCAGTGGTAAAGCATTTCTGGATTCGAACACCAATTAAAAAAAAAAAAGATGGAAAAGAATCTCAGATTATGAAAACATACTACTACTTTTTAAAAAATATTTATTGTAGTTGGACACAATATCTTTATTTTACTTATTTATTTTTATGTGGTGCTGAGGATCAAACCTATGGCCTCTCACATGCTAGGCAAGCACTCTACTGCTGAGCCACAATCCCCATACTTTTTAAAAAGAACTTTCATTACAGTCCCCCTTGTGGTACACAATTGAGGCATATCCTCATTTTATAAAATGAGAACAAACTTATTTTCCCAAAAATCATACAGTAAAATAAGTGTTAAAAACCAAGATCTGGGGCTGGGGTTGTGGCTCAGAGGTAAAGCGCTCACCTAGCATGCGTGAGGCACTGGGTTCGATCCTCAGCACCACATAAAATAAATAAATAAAAGATTGCATCAACCTATAACTTTAAAAAAAAAAAACAAAAAAAGGCAATATGACATCTAAACTTCTTTGGAGCTACTCGATGAACAAGCTTAGCTTGCCCAAGACTTTAAGGCTTTAAGTTTTATTCCGTTGAGAGAAATAAATAAATGATGGTAAAAAATAAATAAAAATGTATTAAATTAATTGGTCCAGGCAGTATTCGAGGTAGAAAGAAACAGATGACAGCAGAAATCCTTTAACGAAATTAAAGATTAAGTCCTTAGCAATAAAAGGTTGGACAACCTAGGCTACAGTAACTACCTTTCTCCTTTGGGATGTAGGAGGCTGCGATAGACGATCTCGCCTCACTTGAGTTGATTTTATATTAGGTAATCTTGGTAAACAAATGGAATCAAGGAGGTGAGAGTCAAGAATGTGGGAGTGGGAGTCAAGAAAAGCAGAAGAAAATTGGTATTGCAACACAGAATGTGAAACCAGAGACTACCTACTAGGTGAACCATCCTTCAACTCTTTCTCCATCCTCCCTAAATCCCACGGAGACCCAGTTTATATGTCTACCTGTTCCAAACTACCTTGACGGTTTCCAGACTGGCCCCTTCCAACACCACAATGAGCCTACGACCTCCACTCTTGCTTCCTGCCCCGAGTCGAGGCCTCTTAGGAGCCACAGCATCCCAGTCCTGCTCCTGCTCGCCAAAGCGCAGCTCACGAGGTTGGAACTCATCACTGGGCGCGGCCATCTTTACAACCAGCCCGGAAGTCGTGCTAACGTCTTTAACTAGCACCTCGAGCTCGTCAGAATCGCAAACTTCCTGCCGGATGCCATTTTGAAAGTGGGCGCTCAGAAACGGCGAGGGCTTGAAGTCCGGGTCAGCAGGGTTCCAAAAAGGGGAGGAGCTTCCGGATGCGTGATTCCTGTGCGCGAAGTTCGGGTCCGCTGTAAGCAAAAGGGGAGGGTTTAGAAGAGAGCGCACTTCCGGTGCCCTTTCTCCCGCGAGTTCTTCTGCTCCGGGCCCTCGTGTGCTGGTTGTGATCTCCAAACTGGAGTGGGGTAGTGACCGGCGGGCACCCCCTCCTGACCTCCGGTGCTGCCGCCCTCAGAATCAGATATGGCCCAGAATTTGAAGGACTTAGCGGGACGCTTGCCCGCCGGGCCCCGGGGCATGGGCACGGCGCTGAAGCTGCTGCTGGGGGCTGGCGCCGTGGCCTACGGCGTCCGAGAATCCGTGTTCACTGGTGAGCACCTTCCTCCCGCTCGCTGGAATCCCCAGACCCTTGCCCTCTGCCCTGTCTCTCCAGCTGTCCACATTCACCTAGCTCCCTCACCCTGCCTCACCTGAACCGAACACGTACCCTGAGCCGCGCACGTACTCTGAGCAGCGGCCTAGTCCGATTCCTATCCCTCTCTCCACAGTGGAAGGCGGGCACAGAGCCATCTTCTTTAATCGGATCGGTGGCGTACAGCAGGACACCATCCTGGCCGAGGGCCTTCATTTCAGGTAATGGTGAGCAGAGCACACTGACCCTTCACCCTTGACACGACCCACCAAGGACTAGTAGGACTTGCATCAGGATTCAGCACTGCTCTTTCCCTTAATCACCCCAGGACAGTGTTGGCTGCCAATACTCTAGCAACACATAAACTATTATGTTGAGAGAAGGAGCAAGCCACTACAGTGAGGGGAAACCAATGAAACTTCAGTTTCCTAATTCCTATCCCTGTCCTCTTCCCTTCAGGATTCCCTGGTTCCAGTACCCCATTATATATGACATTCGGGCCAGACCCCGAAAAATCTCCTCCCCTACAGGCTCCAAAGGTAAGTGTGGGCAACTGGAAGTCACCTGGCAGAAGATATAACTAAAGTGAACCGGGAGACTGCAAGATGGTAGTGTGGGTGGGGTCTTTTAGGTCTTGGTTTCCACATCTGCAAAAGTGCCTGCCTCCTGGGGCTAAAGCAGTACATTCCAACAGGTAGGATGTTTGCATGTTTTTCTTTTTATTAATAGTTCCTTATCTGTTACATAAACTTCCGAACTTTGTCCCATTTTTGTCATAGTGCCTAAGTCAAAGCCTTTTATTAAAGCATTTTCTTATTTTTTTGACTTATTAATTATATCCAGTTACATTTACTGATATGCCCTGTCCTGAAGAAGTATGACTCCTCTCTTTACAGACTACTTAGTTAGAAGCTGTGCCTTTGAGATTCTGCTGGCCCCTGCCTCATTCAGAGAGAGACACATTTACACTGAGGCATGTTAACTCAATATAACTGGTGATATGCTTCTTTATATTTTTTTTAAGTGTGTATCACTTATTCGTTCACTTAGCCCTGGGAATAAGATTCTTAAAACAATCCTTATCAATTCTTAATAGTCTAGTAAAAAGAGACAGTTTATCATGATGCTGCATGATAAACTACCTTAAGAGGTTGCTCAAGATTCAGTGGTAAAAATAGAAGTAAGCTTTACTAATGGAGGAGTTGTAGGTCCCCAGTGGACAAGTATACACTTCACATGTGCTATGTAGCATCTTCCTTCACAACTTTATTATTCTGCCCCAGGAAAGTGCTAGGCTGTATACTAGGCATAGATGGAAGCACATGAAAAAGAAAATGTTTGAGGGGAGGGTTGACCTTGACCAGCCATTGCTGACCTCTCCCTCAGACCTGCAGATGGTGAACATCTCCCTGCGTGTGCTGTCTCGACCCAATGCCCAAGAGCTCCCCAGCATGTATCAGCGCCTCGGGCTAGACTACGAGGAGCGAGTATTACCATCCATTGTCAACGAGGTGCTCAAGAGTGTGGTGGCCAAGTTCAATGCATCACAGCTGATCACCCAGCGGGCTCAGGTCTGGCTCCCATCACCATCTGCATGGTGGCAGCATTTCCCTCCCAGACCCAGAGTACTAGGGACCATGAAAAATATCTTATTAGAATCTAGTTCCATATCCACATAAAAGCTATACTAGTTGCCACTGTAGGACATAGAACTCAGTAGCAATCAGTGTTATGAAGGAAGCATAGGAGGAAATAATGCGTTGTGTTGCAGGTTTGCCTGGCAAGAAGCTAAGGAGACACTTATATTGGAGAGTGAAGGTTTAGGAGTCATTGTGACCTGGGACAATCATATTACCTCTGGGAGGCCATCTAATCTATCAAATGAATAGATTGAACCAAGTCTTTCCAATTCAAGTGTTCTAGTGAGTGTCTCAGGAACTGAGAGTAGGCCAGTTGCCATACCAGGAGATCTGGTATTTAAATGGGCACAGCAATACAGCCTTCCTTCCAGTTCTTCAGTCCTCTCAACACCCCTTCATTCCCATCCCCACCACTGCCTCCAGGTATCCCTGTTGATCCGCAGGGAGCTGACAGAAAGGGCCAAGGATTTCAGCCTTATCCTGGATGATGTAGCCATCACGGAGCTGAGCTTTAGCCGGGAGTACACAGCTGCCGTAGAAGCCAAACAAGTGGGTGAGTCACAAGAGGAGTGGGGCAGGGGCTTCTGAAAACAGAAACCAGACAGATCTATCCAGGGTTAGGGATCCTTACCTCACTGTGACCCCCTGACTTTCTCACCACAGCTCAGCAGGAAGCCCAGCGGGCCCAGTTCTTGGTGGAAAAGGCAAAACAGGAACAACGGCAGAAGATTGTGCAGGCTGAGGGTGAAGCAGAGGCTGCCAAGATGATATCCTTGGTCTGACCCCAGGCACCCTGCTTTCCCCATCCTTCCTCAAGGGCCGGCTGATGAGAATAAGGCGAATGTGACTTTGTGCTCTCTGACCCTTGGCTCCTGGGTGGGGGGCGGGTAGGTACAGATGGGATCTGAAATCTTGGTGGGGAAACCTGAGTCCTGGCTCCCTGCTGTAAGGCCAGATCAAGAGCACTGCTGGCCTTGCCCTCATGTCTGCTGCTGCCCCGAGTTCTTGGCAGTAGCCTACAGGGAGGCCCACAGGTAGGGGCCAAAGATGGGATGGGCACCAGCCATGTGAGCACAACCTTGGATCTGACAGCCCAGAGGAGGACTAGCATGAGAGTAGTAAAGATGGGGCCAGGGATTGAGATCTCATCTTGTGTGGACACTTAACCCTTCCCTGCTCACCTTGGAGAAGCACTGAGCAAGAATCCTGGCTACATCAAGCTTCGTAAGATACGGGCTGCCCAGAACATCTCCAAGACGGTAAGTGTGAGAGTCCTGCATCTCATTCAGGTTTCTACTCAAACTGATTTCTCTTGACACTTAATTGCCCACCGCTTCCCTGATCTTCTGTTCATTCCTGTTACAGTATTAGTACATCATAGTCATTGCTCATTGCTATATCTCTGTCCCAGCCACACATGTTCCATTTAGTAGCTGTTAAATCACAAAGACAGGAGTCGAGGTCTTTACTAATGCCCCCATTTGTCTTTCTTGCTGCCCTGCAGATCGCCACATCACAAAATCGTATCTATCTCACGGCTGATAACCTTGTGTTGAACCTACAGGATGAAAGTTTTACCCGGTAAGAATAGGGCTGCACAGTGTGATGTCACAGAGAACATGGGGCTTGAGTCTGGGGTTCCTTGGGCTCTGGAGCCTATTACAGCTACTTGTGACTCTTGATACTTTTTCAAAATTAGAAAAGGGGGTGGCTGGCCAGGTACAGTGGTACATGCCTGTGACTCAGCTACTCAAGAGACTGACTCAGGATTGCAGGTTCTAGGATAGCAAGATGCTCTCTCAAGATTTAAAAAATACATCCAAAGAGCTAGGGATATGGCTCAATAGAGAGCCCCGGGGTTATCTGGGGTTGTAGCTCAGTGGTAGAGTGCTTGCCTAGCATGTGCAAGGCACTGAGTTTGATTCTCAGCACCATATATAAATAAATAAATTAAATAAAGTTCTGTTGATAACTAAGAAAATATTAGAAAGAAATAAACTGGTGGAGAGCCCCTGGGTTTAATATCCAGTACCACGAAAAAAGTGGGGGAGTTGGTAGTTCCTTTCTTACCCATAGAATTGGTCAACAGCTGCTCTGGTACATGGAAACGTGTAAGGAAAGGAAAGAGCAGAGAATAGTCTTCCATGAGCCTGAGATCCTAACCTCTACCCAATTTGTGGTCTGCTTTTGGGAGCAAAGGGTTTGGAGCTGACTGGGGTCTGAAGTCATTAAATCACCTGCATTTCTCTTTTTCTCTGTTGTCTTGTTTACCTCATGGTCTGGTGTCCACAGAGGAAGGTAAGTTGTTGCTGTGTCCTTATTTTGGGGGGGGGGGTCCTGCAGTTCATCTTCTCCCAGTACCTGCCCTACTACCACTAACTAGCTCTACTACCTCCCCTAAGTCACCACCCTCCCCCCCAGACCCTCAATCAGGAGAGGTGGGAATGACCTGGAATATTCTGCATCTCGCATTTATATCTCCAGTAATGTCATCCATCTGTCCCATTTTTCCAGTGACAGCCTCATCAAGGGTAAGAAATGAGCCTGATGAGAAGAACTCTACCCCAGGGAGGAAGCAGATGTATTTCTCCTCCAGTTTTTGAGGAACCAGCTAGGGGTCCAGCATACCCCAACCCCAATATCATGTGATGGTCCCCTCTGCACCCATCCTCTTGAGGCCCTCTTGGATTAAGGAAGACTGAAGACCAGCCCTTCTTAGGGGAATGACTTTCTTTCTCCCTGTGTTGGCCAGGGGGTTTGGGACACTGTGTGATTTCTCAGTGATTTCCTACAGTGTTGTTCCCTCCCTCAGCTGGGAGGAGATAACCACCATACCAGGAATTCTCAATAAATTTTTATTACTTAAGCCAAAGTTAAGGCTTTAGGTGTCTGCGTCATGTGGGAGGGAAGCAAATGTATCCAATCATGCCTGTGCTCCAGGTTCTTATCTGCCAGCAGAGGGCGCAAGGAGTCTGGCCGAGGTTCTCCAAACCCACCAATCTGCTCCAAAAGAGGACCAAAGCTGGGAGCAGCAGGCCTCAGATCCAGAGGCCCAGCTACACCCACTACCCCGCCCTCCATGTCTACCACACCACCCCCATTTATTTATCAACATCTCCTTTTTTAAGGCTAGAGCAGCTGTGGTTTTGCTGAGCCAAACTAAAAATCTGATGACCCCAAGGGGAGCTGCTTCCTTGGTAACAGACCTCTGTGGAATTGTGGGGAGATCATGAGTACCAACAAGGGACCTCAGCAACATTCAAAAGCCCAGTGGGTTGTGTTGCCTGCTGTGGGCTACCTGCAACTTTGAATTTTACAAGGTGTGAGGTGCAATTTGCAGAGAAATCCTGACCTATAAAGGTGGGCTTCCCACTCCTGCAGCTCTGGAGCCCCATCAGAAAAGCAGCCTGGTTTTAATCCATTGAGAAGCTGTCTCACATTTCCCAAGACAGCCTTCACTGGATCTCAAGCACCAATAAAATGAAGTCTGCTTATTATACCTAATCCCACTATATCCGTACTCTTGTCCTTTGTCCTTTTGGGGGACAACACTGGGGATAAAGGAATGACAAGATGCATAGTAGAGGAGAAAGTAAACTTTAATAGGGTCAAAAGGGGCGGGTCTTCAGCCTTTAGGGTTTTGAAAGAAGTAGACAATTTCTCCATGCCCTGAGGGTTAAATGTCGAGAAAGGAAAGGGAGGTGAAGTTGAAGTAGCAGCCACTCTCCCTAAGGTAAGATTTACGGATAAAAGGTCAAGGGAGGAGCTGGTATGGGTCAGTGGTAGAGTGCCTTCCTAGCATGCAGGAGGCACTGTGTTCAATTCTCAGCACCATATAAGTGTAAAGATATTGTGACCACCTAAAACTTACGAATAAAAGTTTTTCTAAAAAAGATTCAAAAAAAAAAGGTCAAGGGACCTGGATTAGTCATCCACCTGTTACCATTCACACTTCATTTCTTTCAAGTTCCCAAAGTGGGAGGACAATGGAGGTATCTGGGGAATGGGGAATAAGTATATTTCCAAATCTTGCTGCTGCACCAGGGGCAGCCATTTTGTTTCCCTTTCCATTGTTCCCCTTTTCCTAATCATTTACACCCTCATCAAAAGGGGAAAGGTTCATAGCTTGTCAATCAGGAGGACTCCATGGTCTTCAGAGCTCCAGGAAAGTCATTGCTGAAAGAACCAACCCGGGGGCCATCTTTACCAGACAGTGTTAGGAGCTTCACAAAGACCATCCAACACTGTACTGGAAGATGGACCCAGAGCCGGCCAACATGGAACTCCAGGCTACAGTTGACCAGTTGCTACAGGGACCCTGGCTGCAAGCCTGCTGAGGCCTCCTGAGAGACCAAGAGCCAATCCCAAACTCAAGGTCAGCAGTGAGTGCTGGATAACACATTGGGATTGGACAAGGGCTGGAGCCATTGTGTTCCCTCAGTGGGCAATCAGCCAACCAAGAGCCACCCCTCCTGCAGCACCCTCAGCTCAAGACATGGGGTTTCCAGGTTATGTGGGTGGGGGTGGGGTCACAACCAGCTGGGCCCCCCCCCCCCCCAGACCTGAGCGGATGGATGGATGGGAACAAACATAGGGTCAGGGGCCTCCATCATTACCCGGCAGTATTAGAGACTCCCAACCACCCAAACACTGCTGGGTAAGACGAGGGCCCCCACCCAGCGTGCCCACCTCCAGTCATCAGGCCCAGCCCCACACTCTCTGCTGAGAAGCTACAGATCCCTGGTTCCCATCCCCCCACTACCCGTGTCCCTGGGGATACTTCCGGGTGATCCCTGCTGCCCACCACCAGCCCCACCCTGAGTGGTTAAGATTGCCAGGGCCCCGGCAGGACCTCAGCAGCCCCTTGTCCTTCTGTTCTCCGCTTCTGAGCCCCTTCCTCTGCTACCCTTACAGCCTGTCCCTGCCCCCAACACACCCCAATTCACTGGCCCTCAGCCCCCACTCTACAGTTTTAACTCAGCCCCAGGACCCCTTGCCTGGTGGCTTTTACCTGTCACCAGTCCCGCCTGCCCCCTAGAATGTGGGTGCCGAGGAGAGGAGAAGAAGGAGCGTCAAAGCCCCGATTCAACGCCCTAGAGCCAGCCCTGGCTTCCACTCTTCCTTCTTCCTTCTCTGCCTGCCAAGCAGCACCAGCGCCTCACCTGGGCCCCGCCTGCCGCCCTGCGCACAGGTGTGTCCTCCTGCCATAGGCTGCCCCCCTCACCGTCTTAACTCCTTCTCTCCCAGCATCAGCCACAGTCACCTCCTCTGAGGCCTGGCCACCCACTAGGCCTTTCACTCTGGCTTGGTGGCCTGTTTCCTCCTACCTTCCTATTCTCTCCCCAGTCTCCAAGGGAATAAAGGAAGAAACTTTCCTTAAGTCCTCTCTCCACCATGGCTACGTCTTCAGGCCTACCCCCCTCCTCTGAGGCCTCTGACCCTGCCCACAGCCAGACCTGGAGGACTAGAATCCCTGAGGTCAGTGAGGGGTCAGCTCAGCAGGGTTTGGGCTGTGCCCTAGTGCAGTGCTGGCCTGAGCTGGGCAACCCCTGAGGGAGAGGGGAGAGAGGAGACCCTGTCCGGCCTGTGAAAGGAAGGCAGGTCCCAGCAGGTCCCGGCAGGTGCCTCCAAGTCTTCACCCCTGGTGTTGGGGTTCCAGCCCCACTAGAGGACCCAGCTGGCCTGACCTTTTTGATTAAAGCATAGAGCTGTTTTCCAGCAGTCCTGGGAGGAGGAATATTCATGCTGCACTCATTCTCACAGACCCACCTCACAGCGAAGCAGAGTCCAAGTCCCAAACCAAGGGCAGTTAGCCCAGGGGCGGTTTAGAGGGGTGGGACCTGCCTTTCTTCCGTGCTGCTCAGGTGTTGCTGGGCACAGGGCCCTGAGGCCCACAGGTAGTGGCCCCACCCACCCACCCACCCCCTGGAGGGCCACAGCTCCAGGGAGCTATTGTGTGGCTCAGTCGCTGAGCCAGGTCTGCTCTCTTTGTTGTGCAGCCTCCTCCGCACCTGCCAGTAATTATTTGGTTTGTGAACTACTTCAAGATTTGTCTCCCTGGGGCTGGGGACATAGCTCAGTTGGTAGAGTGCTTACCTTTCATGCACAAGGCCCTGGGTTCAATCCCCAGCACCACAAAAAAAAAAAAAAAAAAAAAAAAGATTTGTCTCCCTGACTAACCTCCTGAGTTCCAGAGGACAGAAACCCATCATCCCCAGAGAACTGGTTCTGTGCCTGTGATATACTGGACACTCAACCTGTGTGCCTCAAGACCCACCCCATTTCCTTAGCCTTTCCAGTGGTGGGGGCCGGTTCTTCCCCAAGTGTGACTCACTATTTCAACCCCCCAGGAGACTTGGGTTTTAAATAAAGGAATTCCACTTTGGAAGGAAAAGGGGACAAAATAATAAACAGGTCTGTGAGTCATCCTGCTATGCAAACTGCCCAAGAGGGTGAGGGCCATGGTGACCTTAGTGGTAGGGGGTGCCTGGGCCCTTTTTAGCTTCACAGGATCCTGTGCACCCCTCTTTACCCTTCTTGACCCAGATGAAGTTCATGCTTCCTAGCCCTTCCTGAAAATCTTAGTTCTTGAATCTGGAAGCCAGCAGCAGATTGTGTTATGTCCCTCTTAGAAAGACTTCCAGATGCATCTTCAGGATAAGGAGGTGGGCTCTGGGGCCAGAAAGGCTGCATTAAAAATCTGAGCTTCATAGCCCAGTAGTCCTGTGAACCTAAGCAATTTATTTGATCTTTGTTCCTCAGTTCCCTCCACCGTAAAATGTCAAAGGTACCTAGATTGAGAGCTGTGGTATGGCAGCAAACAGGTAAAACATTGGCTTAGCATGTAGGAGGCCCTGGGTTCCATCTTCATCACCAAAATAAAAAGGCACCTAGAGTGAATTAATTGTGCAGTCTCTTAAACAGTGCTTGGGAACATGGCCAGCATTTAATGAATTATTGTTGTCATTGTTATAATCATCCATTATCTCAATGATCTTCACTACCACCCTGGGGAGGGCAGAAGAATTAGGATCACACTCAATTTTAAAAAGAGTGCTGGGGGTATAGCTAAGTGGTAGAGCACCTCCCCAGCACACTAGAAGCCTTGGATTCTATCCCAGCACCAACAAGAAAGAAAGAGCTGGGTGTGTTGGCACATGCCTAAAACTCCAGCAACTCAGGAGGTTGAGGCAGGAGAATCACAAGTTCAAAGCCAGCCTCAGCAACTTAGTGAGGCCCTGAGCAACTTAGAGAGACCCTGCCTCAAAAGAAAAAACAAGGGCAGGGGTTGTAGCTCAGTGGTAGAGCACTTACCTAGTATCTATGAGGCACTGGTTTCAATTCTCAGCCCCACAAAAATAAAAATAAATAAAACAAAGGTATTGTGTCCATCTACTAAAAATAAATAAATAAAAGGGCTGGGGCCATGTGTGGTTGCACACGCCTGTAATCCCAGTGGCTCTGGAGGCTGAAGCAGGAGGACCACAAGTTCAAAGCCAGCCTAAGCAACTTAGCAAGACCCTAAACAACTCAAGTGAGACTCTGACACTAAATAAAATACAAAACAGGGCTGGGGATGTGGCTCAGGGGCAAAGCACCCCAGTTTCAACCTCTGGTTGCCCCTGGAAAAAGGAAGAAAGGAGACCAAGGAAACTCACACTGGATCTCATGCCCATGTGAAGCCATATGCAGAACCAGGAATCCGTCTGACCCTGAAGGCACAAAACACCACCTTGGCCCCTCCCATCCAGAGTCACTGGGCAAGGAAGACACACAGTCCAGTTAACACACAGTGATTCAGAGGTTTATTTACAAGAATAGAAGAACCTGGCTCTACCTGGAGCCTTGTTGAGCTATATACAGGGAGAGGGG